TTGTCTTTATTATGAAATGTATTTGATCCGGAAGGTTGAATAAATGACTAAACACACAGAGTATGGTGTACCAAACAAGAACTTCTTTATTTTCATTTTTTTTTACATCTGCAGCCGTCATCCTTCCAGGGACCTGAAGAAACACAGCATGAAAAGCAGCTGTTAGATATCAACCCTTCTAATGTATTAATTTGTTATCCTTAGAAATGTAGTTTCCAAGGAGTTGGTAGATATGATATATGGGCACAAATATGGATGGAAGGGGATGAATACTTAATTTAAATGGATTGGTGCTGATGGGATTATGCTTTTCAACTTAGCACTTTGTTAGAACTGTATTGACAAAGCGCATAAAATAAAAGACACCTTAGTTAATAGTTCGGTGTCTTTATTTACTGACTCGATAGCTTGAACATCCTGTCAATTGCCTTGGCCTTTAAAAACACTGCTGTAGTCGTTTATGCTTGCAAAATTCTCAATTTTTTATCTGCCCCCTCCCCTAGGCCTATATTTCATATATACTAAAAAATCCATGACTGACTAAAAATTAAAATTTAGTCACCTCAAAAGCAGTCTTGGGGCGCGGAACTTCAGCTCCTTCACTGGCCGCCGTCTTGTCCACCTCAATGCGGACGAAATGCCCGAACTGCCGGCAGGCATGGCCGACCTGCAGGCCAGCGTACACCTCCACACCCCTTCCGACTCTCCCTTCATTGCAGAAAAATTGCGCACTGGCCGTTCTTGAAAGGATATCTCTGAAGTTCACCGGCCTGAACTCACTTGCTGTGACCAGTTTCTCGTACAACGTAACGTCACCTTGCCCACAATCGATGGCATACCAATCCACAACTACCCCGCCACCCTTCCTTTGCACTTTGATGCTCACATGATTCGGATGAGATGGAGACTGACGACAACATGAAGTTGACGCCATGTTTTTTTTTATCCACATGTGCAACGAGGAGGTTTACGACGAGAAAGTCGGTACGTTTTGCGATAGGGACAGGGAAAGTGGTATTTTACGACACTAGAATCAATTTACGGCATATATTTGCTCATTTGGAGGTGTTTTGCACGAAGGTCAAAAACTTTTTTTTTGTGGAAACGAGCGAAAATTGATGCGCGCGCGGATGTCATCCATATAATCAAACAACATGGCCTAACGTGTGTTTCTGTACTCCAAGTTACGCATCGCACACATTCTTTGGTTAACATACCAGCAAAATAAAAGTCAAACTATATTCAGCAGCACATCTCGGACAAACCAAACTCATACATGATGAAGGGATGAAGTCATCGACCTCTTGTTACTTTAAATTTGTTTTTCAATGGCTACTTGTTTTCCAATACTAAAGATGTGCAATAAAAGTGAATGTAAGTTTCCATGAGATTGACCAGACTGTTTGGTGATGTCGGGTGTAGGGTCTGGGTTGGTGATGGACTGGGAGCAGGAGTCTGGAATGTTGCTGGCATCTGGAGATGTTCGTCTCATCAGGGTCTGGGACACACAGAAGGAGAAAAAACTACAGGTAACAATCAGTCACCCACACTGTATGCAAGGATACATGTATGTGCACTACTTGTAATTGCATAGTGTGCTAAATTTTTAGTTTGTCTTAAAATACGTTAAAATGGTAGTAAAGAATTAGCCTAGGCTTAGCCAAGTTTTGGTCAGTCCTAGGTTTGACTCATGAACTTCCTTGTTGAGATCACTAGGTGCTAGCCTCCTTCGCAGACTTGTAGGTCGTGGCATTTTTTTTGGGGGGGGGGGACACATGAATTGCCCCTGCATGAACAGGTTAATAGCCTCTATGAAAGGCTGACTTAATCCCAGACCCTTTTTGGTGGCCGACCCCAAGCAGGCTTGTTGGGCAGCGAAACCTTCTCTCCCTGGCAAAACTCCCTCGGCGGCAAAATTGTCTCTCCGCGGCATAACTACTGTCACTCACCAAAAAAAAAAAACCACGCCCTACAAGTCTGAGAAGGAGGATAACTAGTGTTGGTGTAGATTTATAAGTAAAGGATTTTGTCTTCATTTTCCAAACTCATTTGTCATCATGATAGTTTGACAATCTCTAAAGCTTCAATTATCATTTGTTTGTATTTCGAAGTTATTTTCATTTGCATGATTGATGTATCTATTTATTTATTCGTTGGTTTGGCTGTTCAATCCACACAGCCAGGTTAGGAAGTGGCTATTATAAAGGGCCAGGTACATTTTATAGGGGTCAAATGTTATATTAAATAAAACAATTTTCAGAAAGGTGCAAAATGTTTCTGGATTATCATTTGCATTGAGAAAAATTATTTACCAAGATGAAAGTAGCAAAACAATCAAGAAAACTCATTCAAAATGCATTCAAAGACCCTACCAAAATGTCTAACAATTAACAATAATGATATTATTACAGCTCAGTTGTCTTTGTTGTTTCCCCTCTACCTCTTGCTCAAGTAATGTTAACTAGTCAGGGTATTTATTTATAGCTCGTTCTCATTGAAATGTACAGAAAAGTGGTAACAGATGATAAGACATTATACTTTGCCTTTTTTCTCAAAAAGATCGTCAGTTATAGCTTCAACTTTTATATCTTTTATTACATCTATAGGAGCAAGGGAACATACATGTAAGTAGGGGTATTTAAAAACTGGGCAACTTTCTTAATACTAGTAAATGTACTAGGTAAAAGTTTACTACTAGCATTGAAAGTAAAAACAAGCAATGGTTACCGAGGTTACAGTCAACTGTAAAACATTTTGTTCAGCAAAGCTGGCTACAAATGACAGCAATCACTCCTTTATTATTCCCTTAGAAACCCAGAAAATGTCATAAAAATGGTAATTTCTTGTCTTATATGCGACTCTTTGAAACTTGAGCAGTAATGAAGGTTACAAAATCTGCAGTAACGGAGGTTACAGAACTCTCCAAAATGACGAGGTCTATGTCTATGCCATGTGTATCTAACTGTGTGTGGAATTTTGAGCCTCCATGCATCTACTAAATCTAAAGCCAACATCATGACTGGTGCATGCAGGTGATAAAATGTAGGTTTGATTGATGACTTGGAAGAAATTATCACAGCGGGTTGGATTTCTCCCCCTAAAAAGTGGCTGTTGCCTGAGAAGACATGAAAAATTTAAAAAGCAGCCTAAAACATAGCACTTTAATTACGACAGTAGTTGGTGGCTGTTGTGGCCGGATAGCCAGGCCCTAGGCCTCTGACTGATCAAGTCACATCGCTCCTGTCAATATTCTTGTACGTTGTGCGAGGTAGAACATACTGTACCTGTCACCAAGTTCTGTAACCTCCATTACCGCTCAAGTAAGACAGTCATGAAGTTTAGATAGAGCCACATACATGTATATGACAAGAACTTGCCATTTTGATGACTTTTAGCTCAGTTCTCTGGGTTTCTAAGAGAACTACATGTAATCAAAGAAGAAAGGAGCGTTTGTGGTTGTTTGAAGTCACACTTGCTAAACAAAATATTTTACAGTAATGACTGTAAGCTCTGTTACTGTTTTTTATTACTTCCAATGTTAGTTACTTCACCTGTTTCCCAATTTTAAAATGTCCATACTTATGGTCCCTTGCTCCTAAAAGATTAAGCTAAAACAGTAGATCTTTTAGGAGATTTAAAGCAGGTGTTACCTCTGTAACGGTAACAGAGGTAACACCTGTAACAGAAAAGACATAACAAGAGATTGAATTTCCTTTTCCTGTGCACCATAAACATAATAGTTGGAAATAAAGTAGAAAACATTTGTATCCAAAGTAAAATAACCCTCAGTGGCGTCGACAGACTCCAATATTCTGCCCTTCTTTGAGATATTGATTTCGCTTTTTTTTTTTGCTACTTCTATACACTACAATACACTTAGCTATTTTCATGTGTTTATACATATGCATATTTACCAGCATATAGTGGGCTGACAGAAGTACTTCCATAGATACTGATGCTTAAACTAATGGCTTTTGAAGTTATGTCAGGAATACAAGCTTTATCATGCACCTACTCATTCTGATATTCCAGTGATTTTTCTGCACCAAAAATTGCGTTGGTTTAATGTCTTATCAAAGTGCCTGAATTTTCTGTAACTTCCCATGTGCATGGCAATGAAGCTGTCATTTTTCAGTAATCATTAATTGAGATGTTTTCCTAAAAAAATGAGGTATGTGTGCTTAAAAAAAACGTTCATCAATTTTTCAAATCTAAAAATCACTATTTTGTACATTTCATTGAGAACGAGCCTTTTAGGGTTAGTCTGAGTGTCAGCCTTGTTAGCTTTCGTCTGCTCCCCAAGATCCGCTCCCCGCCAGAGCGGACAAAGGCTAAGAAGGCTGACACTCAGGCTATTTTAGGGTGACTTTCTTGAATAAATATGATATCAAATGATTTTTCTGCCAAACACATGAAAACTTAGTTTCTTTTTCTATTGTTTCCCAGTCCTTAATTTGGCGTCGTATGAACCAATCTTAGTTTTTTCGTTAATCGTGGTGGTTGTTGATACCAATGTTTCTTGTAATGATTTTCTCAACTTGAGATATGGAAAAAGGAGTATGGCTTACACAGTAAGAGATTTATAAGGTTACCATTTAAATAGGAACACCTTTCAATAAACAAGCAAAACAAATAGTAGAAACTAATTGAGTTATCCATTCCACCTGGATCCGTGGGTCTTGTGCATGAGACAGAAGGAGAAAAACAAAAAGGTGGTGGAGGGGTAGCAGTGTATACCAAGAAGACTATTCCATCAAAAGCTCTTGATATTGCTGTTCCGACTGACTTGGAGTGTGTATGCGTTCAACTGCAGCCATACTAGCTTCCTCAATCGGTGTCGTCCATCGCCCTCTGTGCCGTTGATGACTCTACCCATGGCGACAAACTCATGGATTTCCTGGCAGATGCTAGTGAAGAAGGTCGTCCTACCCCTGAGACTGTCAGACTTACGGTCGTTTGGATTGTGGGATCACTGAGCATGACTGCATGGGGAGAGGTCTAGACTATAGTGAAGTCCACGCAACCAACAAATGTTCAGCCTTCTACTCCACCCTGTGCAGTGCGATTGAGAAGTACATTCCATCTAAGACTGTCAGACTACATGAAAGACACAAGCTTCGGCATCACAAAAACACGCACCATTGAGACCCTGTGACCTGCCCACCTACCTCCCTGATCCAGCTCCACCACAGGTAGTCTCGGTCTGGGACATGTGGAAGAGACTTCGGAACCTGAAGGTTGGCAAAGCCACTGGCTCAGATGGTATCTCCCCAAGAATTATAAGAGAATTTGCATTCAAACTGAGCCAGCCTCTATGTGATATCATGAATGCCTCTCTGTGCCAAGGTGAGGTACTGGACTTGTTCAAGGATGCAGATGTGGTACTTATACCTAAAGAGATGCCACTGAGACTGGAAAAGCTAAGGCCAATCTGACCCATATTTGCTAATAAAAGTTTTTCTAAAGAAAGTTTTGTCCGAGACTGGTACTTACAGGACATCCTTCCTAACCTTCCAGTTTGGATCCCTCCAGGGCTGTTCAACAGTGCAATACCTTACACGTCTCATACACAAGATTCTTCAAGCAGCCTACAGACAAGGCCACCTGACGATACTTGTCCCCACTGACTTTTCCCATGCATTCGACTACGTCCACCACCAGACTGCCATCTGCAAGTTGGTGGAACTGTCACAGAAGATAGACTTACTTACTTAGACTTACTTAGAAAATAGACTTACTTACTTACTTCCTTAGACAGAAGATAGAATGGGCGCAAAAAAGATCACTAAGAGTAATACTTGGCCCCGAATATGACTGTTACTACATGGCTCTGAACACTACTGGCCTTGCTAGACTAGACACCAGGTATGATGAAATGTGCCTAAGGTTTGCTCATTCTCTCACAAGCAGTGAGAAATACCGTGCCCAGCTGCCATCACAGAGGGGGGATATCCACAATAGAACACTCAGCAACAGTATGAAACTGACACAGTTTAAATGCCGGACACAACGTATGCTAAATAGTACATTACCTTACTGTGTCCGCCTGCTGAATGACAGTTGATGTTAATTAATGTTATAACATAATTTCAAGTCTTGATAGTAATGATTTTCTAGGATTTGTAACTTCCTTTAATTCTTATTTGTAATGTATAATGTTGATAAGCCATTTGTGTACAGAAACCGCAATTCAGCACTGGTGGTTTGAATAAACCATAAAGCATTCTCTAATTGGTTCTCAGAGTTGCCTGCTTCATTTTTTTAATCATTTTATACAGTTTTTCCATCCAATATTCTATTAATGCATCGGTTTGATAAAATTCATTGGTTGAATTATATACCAGCTTGTGTATGTTGACTTCACGGCTCCTAGCATGGCTTTGGGGGCAATCTGAGGAAACCTACATGTAGGTCTTTTTTTTCACCCTGTTGCTTAATATTTTTTCTGAAAAAATCCTAGAACCAACAAGTTAAATTGGTGTGGCTTAATGATACAGCCTAATTTCACCTTGTTTGGCCACAGGACATCCCGACAGGTGCAGACAGCTGTGTGACCAGTCTGGTCAGTGACTCAGTGGGGCGGTCACTGCTGATAGCTGGCTGTGGAGATGGGTCAGTCCGACTCTTCGACAGGAGACTGGGGCCTAATGAATGGTCAGCAGAAATTCTTAAAGATGAAAATGTTTTAGTATAAATATTCAAGCACAATAGGGCAAAATAGAAAGTGTTTGGTTAGAATGAAAACAGAGGCGGAAAAATGGTTTGGGAGGGGGGTAGATATGTACATAATATTGAAGTTTATTGCAAGTTCATGTCCTAGGTAACAAAGACATGTACAAACTTCCAGTTTCGGCAGGTTTGAACTGCCAGGCAGTTACCACATTGAAATTATAGCAATTTACCATTAATCATGTAAGGCCATACCAATTTAATTTGTTGGTTCTCGGATTCGCCTCTTCGTTTTTTTCTGATTTACAAAAAAAAAAAAAATTTTGATTCTGGTCCTGAATCAACTGAAAAATGCTCATGTTTTGCCCCCAACAGTTGAGGAAAGTCCTTTTCTTTCTAGTTGTTACAGTTTTCCCAGCTATCATTGCAGTGGTTTGATTAAAAGTTAAAAATTCAATGTTTAAATTTTAACCCAGCCTTTTGTGTTGACTTCATGGCTCATTCCGTAGCATTTAAGCCTATAATATAATGCCTAGACCTGTTTTTTTTTTTTTCGCCCTGTCGCTTCATATTTTTTCTGAAAAAATCCGAGAACCAACAAATAAAATTTGTGTGGCCTAAGGTAGGTCTACATTTACATAATCTATATATTAAGATGTTCCTCTCATTTTCAATTGCATATTAAGTGTTTGATAGGACCATTATGGAATACAGCAGATTACAGAAATTCCTAATTGATTATGCAAATTAGCTTCTGATTTGCATAAATCTAATTATGTCAAGCATCACTTAAGCTACCTATGTACGTAGCAAAAATCATCCTCCTTTAAAGATTCTTATTATAAACAAACTGCCCTGCATTTCCAGAACAAGCTGCTATTAGTATTAATGTCACTTCTTCCCTAGCCCAAGAGCTACAGTAACTGTATCTACCATCCGAAATTTGTGACCGTAGGATGTCTAGATCATGAGATAGCAAAACCGGAAGTTCTGCTGCAGTACTATGGCAAGCTGCAGGGCCAGGGGGCCCAAAATCTAATCATTTCGGAATCCGGATTTGGGTCCACACACCGAATATCACACCAATTTGATTTTATGGATGACATCCGTGCACGTATTAATGTTCTCAAGGCCACACCAATTTATTTCCTTGGTTAACGGATTCGCCACTTCATTTTTTTGCCAAATTGACCAAAAAATAAAAACAGAACAAAAATCCATACTCTCAGGTTTCAAATAAACGTACCGGTTTATTTTTGAGGGCCCGAAAATCCACCCGGTACGTTGTAATTTTTGAAAATGTGGGCATTGTTAACAGCATCAAATATACATTGCTTCAAGGAAGAAACATTTTTCTGTGTGCAATTTGTTCGGAAAGCTAGGTTGCCCCTTCAAACACAAACACACACACACACACACAGGCCAAAAACAGTACTTCCATATGGGCTCTGAACAGAGCACTGATTTAAACCTCTGTTTGGAACTTTGATATTCAACTGGTTTCAACTTTATTCATCTTTTCAAAGTCTTGACAGCTGACAGTTTGTTAGTAAAACAGTGAAGATTTTTATCTTGCATTTTATTAAATAATACGAATTAGTGTAAAGGGATGTAACAGAAGTTGCTCTGTAATTGTCCTTTCAGTTCAATAAGTGTCCAATGTGCCCTATAGCATTTTGAAACTTCTTTCCTCAAATCTTTGGACTTACACTAGTACTGTGACATTACATGTGTCTTGGACTCTGAAAACTTGTCAAAGCTATAAGGGCTCCATAACCATGTAGCAAATCATGTGCAAGTATTTTTAACCAGAATGATCACATTTCTGCAAAAGTACCTATCAGCACCACTTCTAACATTTGTATAGAGTTGCCTCTGACATGATGAAGACAATAAGAGTATGTAGTGACAATTTGAAGCAATGATTTTGCCATACATGTATACACTGTTGCCTGTTTCATTCTCCAGTCGGGTAATGACCTTGAGAGAACACACAGGCTGGGTGGTGAAGGTCTTTCTGCAGAAGGGAAGTGAAGGCAACATCATCAGTGCCAGGTCTGACAGAAATGTTCTACTTTCTATATTACAAGTACAGGTCAGGATGTATCAGGATAACAACAGGTTAGGATGTATCAGGATGGGTAAGAATATATGAGGACAGGTTTGGATGTATCAGGATGGGTAAGGATGGATAGGATTGGGTATTCATGTATCAGACTGGGTCAGACTGAATGATAACAAGGGAAGGATATCATAAACATGTAGGTACATTATACAAGTGCAAACTAAAATAGTAAAAGTAAAAGATTTGAAATGCAAGGAGGCTAAACACCTGTCGACTACCAGGTACTATGGAATGGGAATAGCCACAACTGTCTGAAGTAATTGTCTTGACTGTGATGTAAATTAACTCTAAATGATGCTGAAGTAGAAGTCTTCATTAACCTTAGTAATATGTAGTTTATATTTCATTTAAACCATTCAGCGTTGGAGGTGATCTGAAGTTCTGGGATCCAAGGTTCAGTGAATCTGTCAAGACAATACAGACATCACAGGGACTGTCATCATTTGATGTTCATCCTCATGCAGAAATATTTGCATGGTAAGGCTACATGTACATCTACATGACTTTGTATAGACTACATGGTATAGTTGTATAGTAATTGTTTTTTTTTACCTCATTTCCTAAATAGCAACGTATATGTTTAATATTATCAAATATTTTTTTAAATATTTTTTTGTTAATGGAAAATTAATAGCACTCATTTCAGAATTCTCCATTTTGGATGGGGATTTGTCTATTTTTGCCCATGAGGTAATGAGCTTTAAAACGGTTTATGTTTGATTGTTTAAGTTTAAGAATGTTCAAGTCCATGATAGGAGAGGAAATGAGCTATTCTTGGCGCTAAATGTTTGCACTGATCGAGTCTGACTGAGCCTAAAGAAATGAACTTTACTCTTTGACTTGAGTTGAGTTTACAATACTACATCAACAGTTTTCCTTGCCATTAATTTTTATCTGAGATTGAAAGACTTAGACCAAGAGGCTTCAAGTAGAAAACAAAGGTGTTTCAGATGTCTGTTGCAGACCAAACCAAACCAAACCAATAGACTTCAACATACTGCTAATCTACTGTGGTCAATATTTTGTTCATCATAAGGCCACACCAATTTAATCAAATAAAAATATGAAGCCACAAAACTTAAAAAAAAAAAAACAGTCCAAGGCACCCCATATGAAGGCTGGAAATGTTACAATATGAAGTCAACATACCAGGCTGGTATATTATAATGAAAACAAAACGTACATGTATCCCCACCTCAATTAGACTCTCAAATAAACAACATTTAAGTTCAGCAAGTGAAAGTACTGAGAGTTCTAGGTGTGATTCTCCAGGCTGATCTGAAATGGAACTCGCACATGGACTCAGTATGCACTAAAGCAAACCAGCGCTTGTACTTTCTCAGGAAACTCAAGCACTTTCACCCTGCCAGTGACGATCTCCTGATGGTGTACACCTCCTACATGTAACGTTACATCCGCCCTATCCTTGAATACGCCGCTCCGGTTTGGCACTCCAGACTGCCCAACACACTGAGTGACAGAATTGAGAAAAGTCCAACGCAGAGCACTACGAGTTATCCTGGGTGCTGAATATACTCCACTGCCTGCTCATATCTGGGACTGCCAACTCTCTCCTCCCAGCGTAGAACACTGACAGAGACCTTTGCCCAGTCTCTTGTCCGTTCTGGGCAGCTTCAGCACATTCTACCACCCACCAGAGGAAGCATCAGTGGCCGTCAGACCCATTCATCACATAAACTGAAACCTTTTGTACGGCCGTACTGGACGGTATACGAACAGTGCATGTCGTTGATTGAACTTTTGAACCACAGTGACACATTATACTGCCCTTGACCATTTGTACCACCTGTTGACAATTTCGAATAGAATTGGTTTTTAACTTGTCACAGTCACTGATACTCTTTTACCCCATATGTTTATGTTAATATGTTCCAATCATGTCTCTAGCCTTGTTCAACTGATGGCGGGAGGTACAAGAGGTCAGCATTGGATCTCCAGTCGCCGTGTTGCTTCCGTAGTTCCCGCGGTATGCCCGCCTCAAACGCTAATGTATGTCCTCCCTGACGCAAGTCGTGCATGCAGAGTGTAATAGCTTTTGTGGAGGCCTGCTTGCTGTACAAACCGGGCTAGTTCTTTGGTGAGGATCGAGAGCTGGTGCCTCTGCTGGTGCCGGGTACTGTTGTAGCATGTTGGCGTAAGCCGTGACCGGGCACAATTGAGAGTCCAGGATCGTGAGGATAGGAACGATGAGGTCTCTCTCGTTGACTTGGATGGTTTTGGACCATGTCTGACGGATAAGCAGATCTTCTTTGGTGTAGCGATTATCACAACGCCGGAAATGCTTGGAGGTGTAGAAACTGTTGAAGGACGTGGGCAACTCTCTCCTCCGAGCGTAGAACACTGACAGAGACCTTTGCCAAGTCTCTTGTCCATTCTGGGCAGCTTCAGCACATTCTACCACCCACCAGAGGAAGCATCAGTGGCCGTCAGACCCGTTCATCACATAAACTGAACCCTTTTGTACGGCCGTACTGGACGGTATACGAACAGTGCCCTACCTTACATGATTGAACTTTTGAACCACAGTGACACATTATACTGCCCTTGACCATTTGTACCACCTGTTGACAATTTCGAATAGTTGTGCTGACATTGGTTTTTAACTTGTCGCAGTAACTGATACTCTGACAAATACAATTCTCTAGAACCTTTTTACCCCATATGTTTATGTTAATATGTTCCAATCATGTCTCTACCCAAATTGTAAATGCATGTTTATGTAAATACATTTTAATCATGTCTATATTCGAATTGTAATGCCTGTTTATGTAAATATGTTTTAATCATGTCTCTGTTCGAATTGTAAATGTCCTAACGCAATTCAGTTTTGGCTGCAATGTTTGTGGCAATGGTATTGAAATAAATAAACCAATCATTAACTGTGGAATACTTTGAGAATGTGACATAAAAGGAGAACTGGGTTCATTCTCTGCTTCACTTCGATAGAACTAATGATCTAGGTCACTATGGCAAATGGCTGTCTAAAGCATGGTTTTAGGGTAATCTAAGCAAGAGTCTCGGAAATCTGGACTGGCCGATACATACAAAGTGAACAAAGTAAAACTAGTCTACACGTGTATGCTAAATGACAGACTGGTGAAATTGAATGCTAAAGGGTATGTATGTATGTAAGTCCCATAACCTTAACGGTCGTCGGGGCACCATGACAGCCAGCAGCATGTCTGGACTTGTCACGATGGCTCCTTAGGCTTATAATCTTGGCGGCGCCTATCTCCTCTCCAAGATTAAGGGTACTAGTGCACAAAAAATTGAGAACTTAACACAACTTGACAGGTAAGATAGCTACAGTCTGTTGTGGGGATGGTGGTGGTCTCTGGCAGCGCTGTGTTAAGAACTGGAGAATGACATACATGTACATGTAGTTCTGTACATGTCCCGACAAGCTCTCGCCCATGTCACGTGTTTAGAGTCTCGTGTGATCTTGTGAGAGTTCTCGTATACAAATTCACTCATAACAACCATACCATAATTGTCTCACTCAAGAATAAACGGCAGAGTTGTACTTGACATCTGCGTTCAGTTGATGTGTCAGCATTACACCACTGGATGTCAAGGCCAGGTTGCAGGCGCCAAGAAGACTCTGGTGAGGGGTTGGTCGTGGCCCAAAGCCATGCAAGTAGCAAGTCACAGACCCTGCAGGATGAGATGCCGCGTCCTCCAGGATCTCCAGTCGCCGTGTTGCTTCCGTAGTTCCCGCGGTATGCCCGCCTCAAACGCTAATGTATATCCTCCCTGACGCAAGTCGTGCATGCAGAGTGTAATAGCTTTTGGGGAGGCCTGCTTGCTGTACAAACCGGGCTAGTTCTTTGGTGAGGATCGAGAGCTGGTGCCTCTGCTGGCGCCGGGTACTGTTGTAGCATGTTGGCATAAGCCGTGACCGGGCACAATTGAGAGTCCAGGATCGTGAGGATAGAGACGATGAGGTCTCTCTCGTTGACCATGTCTGACGGATAAGCAGATCTTCTTTGATGTAGCGATTATCACAACGCCAGAAATGCTTGGAGGTGTAGAAATTGTTGAAGGACGTGGGCACCAGGTTCAATCTTCTCAGATATGCGAAGAAACCGATCAAAAGTGCTGTCCAAGTGGTGCCGTCCAGATTTGTCAGATCCAGGAACTGGTGTGCCTTCAAAAGAAACTCTGGAGTGATGGGGTGGTGCTCTTTGGGTCTGTGACTGAGAGTCCTTTTTAATCCTCGTAGGGTTTGCTGAAGTTCAAATTGTTGTAGACTGAACTAATGGTGACAGTGGAAGTGGTGTAGTAGCTTTACGGCGGACAGGTAGTGTGATAGCACAAGAGGAGATGATTGGTGGCGGGAATGGGAACCTTCCTGAAGAAGCAATATATCTTTGAAACTGAGTCCGGCTTCAGAGCGGGTAGGTGCTGGTGAGTGCTTGCCACCTCGGAGGGCGCAACCCGAGGAACTGTTGCTGGAACAGCCAGTTGCAACAATATGTGCAGGGTCTGCGTGTGGTAGCCATCTTTTAAGTTAGACACAAGGGCTTCTGGGATGGTCGACCTTTGACCAGTGACGTCACCGTCATGGGGGTAGACGTAGATTCCGACGTTCCGTGCTCTATGCCCAAGTCGACTTTCATCTGTTCTATCCGCTTCGAAACGTCGAGAATCTCATTACTCAGCTGCTTTTCCAACTTATCGGCCGGAGTAGAAGGCCACTCGGGGTCATCCGCGGGTGACATGCCGTACTGCGCGGGCACTCGTATTTTCCTCTTCCCAGCTCTCAAACCTCAAATTACCATGGACAATTGAGATAACAAAGGAAGGGTTGACGTTTGAAAGATGCAAATATCTTAAAAATAGTGTTTGTGTGGGATTTAGAATGCAGTGGAAATGAAAAATAGTTGATACTTGACACGCACTGGCGACTGACATTTGTTGTTACAGGATAAATTTTATCCTATTTCATTACGTTATATAAACAAGGGAATCGACAATGATTTATAGAACCGTGAAGAAGTGAAAGGCAAGGTTGCCATCATCAGACAGGAAACTTGAAAAATTATAGAGAAAATTACTTTTGATAGTTTTGTATTTCAATGGACCATTCTTCCTGAAGTTTTCAGACTTTCCATCATCACTGTTTATTCTCCTCTGTCTCAGTGGCTCTGCTAACCAGTTCATCAGCCTGTACACCTTAACTGGGGAAAACATCAGCACCATCAAGTACCATGATGGCTTCATGGGGCAGAGAATAGGACCAATCAGCTGCCTGGCTTTCCATCCACACTGGGTGAGGAATATTATATTTGTTAGTTAATGTAGTGCTACCAATTGTCATCCGATTTGAAATAGCATATTTTGGAGATGCTACAGTTGCTTTCATTCATTCAAACCTATGCAAAAAACAGACAAAAAAGGGCACCATATCTCACCTTTCAGACGCTCTGGTCACAAAACTCATCTTCATCTGGTAGCACATTTATAACAAGAATTTGGAGATCTCATACCTCCATGAAAAATGTAGAGCTTTTGTAAAGTTTTTTTTAATTAATCTCATTGATTATGGAAATAAGGTAGTAATTACCATAATCTGTTTTAATTTATGGTTTTTCTAAACTAAAATTACAATATGTTGTGTGTGAAATTTGTATCCTTTGGCAATGTTTCATTGCAACATGTTCTCAGTAATGCCCTCTAAATTAACATAATATAAGTAACATACATATGTCACAAGGTATGAAATTCCCATCATTCACCATTAAAGAATCATTGCATTTTTACATCGGTTATGCAAATTGGGTCATCATTTGCATAATTGGTATCTGTTGATGTTCCACCTGCCATAGATTAAGGTTCCGGGTATCAGTTTATATCTGACCGGGGATCTATGGTGCGCAGTAAATCGCAGGATCTGAGCAGTTCTGAGCAGTTGTCATTTTTCAGGAAAAGCTATCTGTCGTAAAAAAAAAGTCATACCACGTTCAGGACAAAAGATACAAAAAACGCAATTTCTGCTGCAGTACCAAGTTCAGGCACCAGGAGGCCCATATTGACCTTTGTCTTCCTACGACCTAGCATGCCAAAAATTAATATGAGTAATTGTCGCGTTCAACCGGTTATTCCACTTACTCATAGATACTGTGTAATGCATTCATTAGTGAAGGAGAGTGGTGGTTGTCACTTGAAACGTCCAGAAATTATCTCCGTAGTTTATCTAGTACTAAAACTTGAATTTCCTATGGGTATTGTTTAGGGCACACCAATTTAATTTGTTGGTTTGGTTGTCAGTTTTTTTTTGAAAAAATATGAAGTGACGGGGCTAAAAAAATAAAAACAGACTGAGGCATCCTTTGATAGCCCCAAATGCTATGATAGGAGCCACAAAGTCAACATAACAGGCTGGTTTGTAATTCAACCAATGAATTTGGGTTCCACGTTGAATGAGTTTCACAACCCCATACCATCGCCAAATGATGTTAACCCTTCGGGTTGTCGAATTATACAATTTTAATCATTGATTTCGCAAAAAAAGAAGCCTCATTTGCATGGACTACATCAGTTGATCATATTCTCCACCCAATGACAGCCTTACGCCAAAAAGCAGTTACTCAAGCAACTGGATATGATTTTGAAAACGTCAAACGTTTCAGCTAGTATCCACTAGCTTTCGTCAGTGACTGAGAGACTAGAGGGGAAATGCAGGTTTATAAGCACAACCTATTGATTGATATGCAAATAAAGGGAAGACAAATTTTTGGAAGTCAAAAATGGAACAAAAGTCAGACAAGTCAAGACAAGAGGCAAATTAGTCAGAAAGCTCATGTTATACAGAACAGGAGCTTAAGTATTGTCAGTCCTCCTATGTCATTGCTTTTAATTAAGAAGATTCATGACTAAGGATCATGCTTATATTGTTGTTTATTGCTCATAAGATGTGGTTTTGCATAATACACCTCAACATGTCTAGATAACCCAAAGTGGATGGCAATGTGTAGTATGTGCCCAAGATTGGGTAGTTCATGACAGGTGGTACATGTAGCTCTACGTTGGGGACTGAAAAATCCTTCACAGAAGTTCTTTTATATTAATCAATTTGATTTTCTCCTACAGGTATTTTTCCCAATATGAACAAAATTCGCATTCAGTAAAATTGCATTCTCCCTTTTTGCTTAATACATGTATGTTCATGTGATGACCATTGAGTTTTTAATAGCGGACAATACTCATATAGTTGCCTTTATGTACCTACATATCCTACTGTGTACATTTCATCATTGCAGCAGTAAAATTAAAACAATGGTCCAGATCATGTATAAATATTTTTGTGTAATCTATACACTGGAATAAAACCAGTGCAGGTACATGTAGACATCGGAAGTACTGCCACAGCTCCATTTTTACCTGCACTAACCTGTATATGCTGGTGGTTTTATCATGCAAATGGTAGTAGCAAAAAATTAGTTGTTACATAATGAAATAATCAAATCATCATTATCAAAAGCCAAATGATGTTATTTTCTTGCAGGTTCACCTTGCTGCTGGAAGCACAGACTGCTTTTTGTCTGTGTACGGGGAAAGGAAACGGTGACATCACACATCAATTTGGACCCATGGACATGTCTAAGTATTTACTATAGATTTAAATGAATGATGTGAATGTGAGTTATAGGACCTTGTTTTTCCTGATGTTGATGATGTTGAAATAAAAATCCTGTCAGCTTATTCAGTTTTCTCCCAGTTTCCCTTTTCCCATTTACAATGTGATGTTCATACAAAAGTCTGATGGTTATTTTTACCGGAACATCTAAGGACAGCAGTTAAGTCAAGATAACAAAATCACAAAACCTTCTAATACATTGTATTTAATATTGTGGTATTATTCATTAGTCATTGCCTTCCAAAAAGAAGCCAATCCCCCAGTATTGTATGAAGAAACATCAGATAGATTTATAGACTATATTCTATTACATTTTTATTGCATAAGTGGAATTGCCCTACTTAATGTTTGTTTCTCCTGCAGAAGCCACTGGAATGTATGGCCATGGTTACATGTATGTGATGTTCATGATTGTACGTTTCTTACTGTATTTAATGAAACATGATCATTCATATCTGAAAAAGTCTTTAGCAGGATCAGACATTAAAAAATGTTTCTATTTGATAAAACAATCTGTGTCTTGTACATGAAGTTTGCAGTAGAGAATTGTTTAAGGTGGACCAAGCACATTTATCATATGGTCAGTTGAGCCTTGCACAACTAAGTTGTTACAAGCTTGTCATAATTGTTTGTATAAGTAATTTTGTATTTTGTAATCTATAACTCTATTATGATGTGTTTATGTTTATGTATGTATATGTGGGGCCCGTCATCAGCTTGGCTGCCAGGGCTTCCGCTGTATTGCCATGTTTGTAATTCTAATAATTTAAAATCAAATAATTGTTTGTAGATAGCTTACACGATGATTGACACTATCAAATGCTAATTATGTCATTTGTTGTCTAATTTGTAGTCAATGAGGAAAGTTTATGTCATGATTGGACTTTATACCTATACTAAGGGAGAGAGGAACGTCAATAGATACATGTATCAAATGAAGGCCTAATTTGCATTATACTAAGTACTTAGATACCTTGTTGATAAATGAGGGGAATTGATAATATTTTTTAAAGTTAAGTAGAAGTTAAAATGAATAGAATATCATTTCTGCAAAATACTGTCCTCATCAGCTCACATGAGAAAATGGTACAATTATAGCCTTCTTTGCTGTGATTTCAAACCCCCATGAAATATGAGTTTTTGTATTTTTTATTTGTCTCATTGACTATGGAAATAAGGTTGTAATTAGTATATTACCATAATCCTGTTCAATTTATGGCTTTCTAAATTCAAATTACACTATTTTGCGTGTGAAATTCCTCTCCTTTGTCATACTTCATTTCAACATGTCCTCATTAATTATGCAAATGTCCTCAACATTAACATAATATATGAATAGTGATGTTAAACTTTAAGTAACTGACAAATGTCACAAGGTATAATATTCCCATCATCCTCCAATAAGGAATCACAGAATTTTCACAATAATTATGCAAATTAGATCATCATTTGCTTAATTGGTATCTGTTTATGTTCCTCCTGCCATAAATTGAATAGATTACATGTATATAAGTATATGTTATATAAAACAATGTAATTATAGAACTTCCTCCTTAATTATGCAAATTAAGTCTTCATGTGCTTGATTTGCATCTACTTTTTAATATCTCTCTCTGAGTCTCTCAGCTACCTACATACCAAAAATGAAAATATGATGTTCCTATCTGGACTTATTGGCTTTGAAAGATTTCACCAGAAAGTCCCCTGCAGTTCCAGAAGAAGCTGCTAGGGGGACCAAAACCACACCACTTATTCTTGACAAGAAAAGCATTTTTGGGATAAAAGATACAGAAACCGGAAGTCCTGCTGCAGTACCAAGGTCAGCCACCAGGGGCCCACATTTGACCTTGACCTTTGTCTTTCTAAGACTTACCAACATATCAAATATCATCCCAATCCAAAAAGGCATTCTGAAGTTATGCTGACAACAATGTTGCGGAAACACACACACAAACACACACACACACAGACACGCTAAAAACAATACCTCCATTTTCATGGAAGCAAAAAGCTTAATAGCACCTACACTAAGATGCTGCGGGTAGTGTATTACATACCTTGGGGGAAGTACATCTCAAACAAACAGTTGTATGGAACATAGTTACTGTAGTAAAAACTATCACCACAGTATTGATTGATTGATTGATTGATTGATTGATTGATTGATTGATTGATTGATTGATTGATTGATTGATTGATTGATTGATTGATTGATTGATTGATTGATTGATTGATTGATTGATTGATTTAAAAAACGCTGGCTAAGCCTCGCGGGTCATGTGACTCATGGTAGAGAACCAGCTGAATGACTCTTACTCCAAAAGAAGGATCAGTCATCCAACCACAACTCTCAAGAAACTCATAGAATCTGAAACTGGTTTACAAGGACCTGAACTTCTGTCTGCAATGAATGACAAACAGCACTGGAAACAGAACTTCCCCTGCATTACCTCAGGAGAAGAGCATGAACAAAGGCCTTGTTCATATGAAGTCAGTGAAGGCGCTTTACATTTGGTTTCCCCCGAAGAGGTTTCAAGTGGTCCAATCTTACGCTCCAAATCACATTGAAAGCGCCTCGATCCCAAGCCACTTCTAGAGGTGGTTTCGAATCGGTTTTCCCGCATCGCGATTTCCGTCTGAGTGCAATGTGATTTCAATGTGGTCATGGATTACGGGGTGATATTTCTTTATTTATATGCAATACCAAATTTTACGTGGCAGCAACTTAAAGAGCAGTAATGGTCAAATAATGTGTCCGTTCTAGGGCGAGCTCTGGCGGGACCTCGTCGGCATTCGGCCGTGATACGCTGGGGGGGGGGGGCACCGGTAAGCAGGTCGTTGATCTCAGACATTAATAGCACGCTACCTTACGTGTTTTCATCAAACAACAATGGATGCAGTTTCAGAGAATCGTGATCGGGCACGGTTTGAGAGGAATGTATGGCTGTGGACCAGATGTGAGGAATGCGAGTTACCTGAATCGCTGTTCGAGTGGTTTCATATGAACAAGGCCAAAGAGGAAGAAAAACAAGCTTCATTTGCATCAGAATGCATACTTAAACGTTATCAATTATTCGCAGGTGGAATTTGGCTTTTTGTCGTTTTTTTTTCTCAAGGGTCATCCAAAATCTCTACTTCAAGCACAAGGTAGTCAACAATCAACATGCAAATTGGCATTACATGTACCTGTTTAGGTCATGTTTAGGTACGGAATTAATCTTGCAAATAAGGTCATTATCTGCATAATTGGTATGAGTTTCCTCATCGTACATCCTTACAATTTTGAAAATAAATTGTTCCATTTCCATTTAAAGATTTCGCAAGAAGCTTCCCTGCAGTTCCAGAACAAGATGCTAGGAGTACAAAACCCACACCACATATTCCTGACAGGAAAACCTATCTGTCACCAAAAATTCAAGACCATATCATGTTCAGGACAAAAAATTAGATAAAACAGAAGTTCTGCTGCAGTACCAAGGTCAGTCACCAGGAGGCCTATATTTGACCTTTGTCACCCTATACCCAACCAACATACCGAATATCATCACAATCTATTAAGACCTGACGTTATGATAACTGCAAATATGCGAAACACAGACACATACACACACATACAGACCAAAACCAATACCTCAATTTTTCATGGAGGTAATTATTGTATGCACCATCGTACCATTATTGATACCAATTCCTTATGAAACGTTCAGCTCCTGTTGCTTACATTGTATACATGTACATGTTGTACGTGTAACTTGTTAACGTCTGTATCTGCTCGGGATGTTGCTCGGGATGTTCATTAAGTCGGGAACTGGACGGGGACACTTATTTAGCATTTATTTACATGTTACAGACACGTTTCAGAGTAAATCAAAGTGTCCCCAGGCTAATCCCGTGAAGAAACCTGTTGTAGGACGGTTGGTTTCGCTCCCCATGCTTTAAGCATTCAAATGCGCTATTCTGACTAGCTGTACCAACATAACGTGGATACCCCGGATATTGATCGAGTAAACTCTTGACTTGAGGTACGAGCACTCCCGATGGATATCCTGACCACTTTTGCTAGGGCTGACTGCAGGTTAGAACCGGCTTGTCTCCTTGGAATAACCTTCTAGCCAATCATCAAGAAGTACAGAGTTTGATCACCACCTGCCAATCATGTAAGCGTCTTGGATGTATAGCTTGGTCTCTCCCATCTTCGGGAGAGAGAGACCAAGACGTCGTCCGGCCACCTGGGTCTGAAGCATCCGTCTTCTCCGACCAGGAGTTAGTAGCTTTCTAATGGTCCTATAAGTGCATCTTTAGTGATTTACTACCTCTGTGGATCGAAGTCATCGCCTCACTTCTGAACTTCTGATTAGGTATGTGGTACTTGTTGGGTTTGCGACTGTTCACAATATTTCAACTTACAGCCGGAGTTTATTTGGTGTGTAACGTTTTGTATGTACTTGTAGGTTCTCCCTAGGCGTTATTACTCATGTGCTAGCTGATTCTATTGTGTCACAACTGTGTACATGTACTATAGGACTATTAGAACCTACTTCTTCTTAGACGGTATTTAAGATATATAGATTCTTGTACTTGGTTCGAAGTTAAGTGAATAAATCTTCCGGTGGTGCGATCGAATCCCATGGCCTGTGTTCGTTCTTCTAGTCTAGTTATACCTTAGTGAGAGTACGGATGACGCGTCGAACTTGATCTAACTGTAAATCCTCCTAGACCGACGAAAACATCTGAAACCACTAAAACAACTGTTACAATAACACTGACTAGGAATTGGTCGGGTACACTTATTTTGCATTTCTGACATGTTTCATATTTTGCAAGTACATAAGATCAAGAACAAGACAGTGTTGCCCCCTATCTTCCTTGTTATTCAATCTTGTAGTTGAAATCCGGATCCTTGCTACGAAAATACGACAAACAGACACGGTTAAAGGTATTGAAGTAATGAATAGTGATAGCTTACTAGAAATAAAGATTAGCCAAGTAGCAGATGATACCACTCTTACGCTATCTGGCGATGATTCCATAAGAGAGGCATTGGGGATTGTGGATGAATTTAGTCTTGTGGCAGGTCCCACTCTAAACCGTAACAAGTGTGAAGGTATGTGGGTCGGGGCTAATAGAGGAAGAAGGAATTCTCCCTTCGGAATCAATTGGCCACACAAACCGATTAAGTCACTAGGCATCTTCTTTGGTTTGTCTGAGGAGGAATGTGAGACTCTAAACTGGGAAAAACAGTTGAAAAAATTGAAAAGCTACTACGAATGTGGCAGAGAAGGAAACTACAGTATATGTAGGTGGCGAATTATACCTTTACGCTTTATTGACAAGCTAGACAAAGGCTTTCTAGTGTTTCGACTTAATTTCAAACGAAGATCTGATGCACCTTCTTTGTTAACCCTCCCCCCATTCTACAGAGATGTAATCCTCTCATGGCATGAACTGGGAGGTGGAAAAACTGATTTTGATGATGTAAGGAATGAAATAATCTGGTGCAACGAAAATTTTAGGCTGAATCACAAAACTTTGTACTACAAACACTGGATAGACAGTAGCATTATTTTTGTTAAAGACATATGTAATACTAGTGTCTCAGACTTTTGGTCACTCAAACAGTTAGTCTGTCGAATAACGTCTGAATCGTTATTCGACAGACTCACTGTTAAGAATAACTGGTCATGCGAGTACGCCAGTGTTAACATGCCAGTAGGGCGAAGATGGCTCACTGAAGAAAATATTGTCAATTCATGTCATGATAAGACTTTACTTTGGTATAACGAACAACGTAAAATACCCGAGGTATTTACTAGTACATTTTTGTATTCCACGTATGTGACTTACAACAGTGTTAAACCTACCGCACAAGCATACTGGGACTCAGTAACCCCTAAACTGGATTGGAGAAAAATCTGCAAATTTCAAACCTCTAATCTTAAACACAACCAGTGTGGCGGGCAGTGAAAGAATCTTGAAGATAGGGCCCAAGAATTTTTGGGAAAAAAGATGTGTGAACTCTAAGCTGCGGAAAGTAAACTTTAAAACCCTGCACAATATTCTACCCTGTAGGTACTTACTTAACAAATGGAATGTAAAAGACGAATCAGGAAACATTTCTAGTAATAACTGAGTAATTTGTAATACTGTGGAAAATTACGAACATATGTTTGTGAAATGCAATAGACTTAAGAACTTCTAGAATAAATTTTCTTGCATTCCTAACGTCCCTCTGAGGTGTTAGAATTGCAAGAAAACTACTCCCGACCTTTTAAAAAAATTTCCGCACATTATACGTATAAAAAAAATTTGGTCGGTTTTTTTCGTGCAAAACCTATGATTTAGAGCCTGAAACGCGTTATACAGGCGAATTTTAACAAAGTCGCTATTTCTTTTGGAAATGGTCGGGAAAAATTTTCTTGCATTCCTAACGTCCCTCTGAGGTGTTAGAATTGCAAGAAAACTACTCCCGACCTTTTAAAAAAATTTCCGCACATTATACGTATAAAAAAATTTGGTCGGTTTTTTTCGTGCAAAACCTATGATTTAGAGCCTGAAACGCGTTATACAGGCGAATTTTAACAAAGTCGCTATTTCTTTTGGAAATGGTCGGGAAAAATTTTCTTGCATTCCTAACGTCCCTCTGAGGTGTTAGAATTGCAAGAAAAATACTCCCGACCTTTTAAA